AAATGTATTTTAAAATTTAAATTCCCCCCCAAAAAAATCAATTTAAATCAAATCTATCCTGACATGAACACATGGAAAGGAGGAGAAGCATCATGGATCCTGCCATGAGCTCATTGGCCAAGCGAGGCAGGATATTAAGACAGTTTGTAAATAATAGTGCAAACTATACATGCCTCACAGTGAGTAAAAACCAGGAGGGGAGGGCAGCTTTAGTTTTTCCAGTCCTGGCTTAAGATGCCCTTTGACCAGCTGAGATAGTCCATGGCCAATTGCAGTTGCTTCCAGGTGTTACTCCTGTGTAAGCAGAGACAGGGCAAAGAACTTGTGAAAATGCAACTTTGGTTAGCATGGATCAGAATGCAGAAGCGCCAGGTCAGAGTGCCTTTATTTTTCACTGGTGTGTAGTCTCCATCCTCAAGTTTTATTTATTGCCCCCATTCTTTACTATCTCAAGAGCATAGACCTTTGATCTGTCAGGTCACTTGCTCCCTAGTATTATCCAGGGAAGTACGTATGGTTGCTTGAAATAGCATGTTTGTAAAAGCCTAGCCAACAAAGACTTGCCTGCCAACCCAGGGGTTTAGTTCTTTCAAAGTTCTGTCTCTTTATTTCCCCCCACACCCATTTTGAAATGTAGTGAAACCTGTTTATTTGGTCTGAGGGACAAATCTCGGCTCAGTTCTATATCAGTTACACAATCTTCCCTCCTGTCCTTTGTTTGCTCATTCTCTTGATTTGAAAGCCTCCCATTCAAAATGGAGTGAGGAAAGGAGGTGTAGGAGAGTCTTAAGGGTGGAAATACATTGACATAAATTGTAGAAAATTCTATGGGATTGGGGTGGCCTGACTTGCATTTTTTTCATTGACCCTCCACCCCATTCATGTTTTTTCCCCCTCTGCAGCTGGGGCTTTTACTTTTTTCACAGCAGATCCATTTGCTTGGTTTTAGCCAATGTGATTCCTAGAGCTCATGTGGAAAAGTGTCATTCTACTCAGACTGCACTATCTGCTGATCCCTTCTGGGTAGAATAATGCAATTTCATTTCTTTTTAAAATCTGAGCGCCCACATTGGTGCATTAGGACATCTAGACAGCTCCCCCCAAAAAAGAAAAGAAAAGAGAGAAATTGCCGCTCAACCTTTGATTAAGGTTGTTCTTCTATAGCTATGCTTCATGTAGATCAGGAGGGCTGCAGGAGAGCTACAGTTAAGCTGCAAACAAGGCTGTTTAGTCAATTTCCTCCTCTCTCCCTGTTTGGCCATTTAACTTAAATTTACCAAGGGGAACCTGAATTCTCAGGTGTGACTTCACAGCAAGTAAATTTGCATATATATATTTTAGTGTGTAGTCACACCCTAAACTGAATAACCTATCTACTTTAGCCTCTACTTAAACATCATTAGCTTGGTCCCCATAAGTGATCAGAAATTCAGTATAGGCAAGTGAAGAGGCTGGTAGGAATTCAGTTCTCCATAACTCTCTCTAGCAGACCAGTGTGAATTTTTGCAGGTGAGTAATTTTTGTGGACACATTTTGAAATATAACTTTTTGCTTATTTATAAAAACTATGTTTTGGTCACTATTTAGGTCAGAATCGATATATAGTAAAACAAACAATACCGAAAACGCACACCACAATTTAACAATATTCCAGGACCCAATCTCAGTAGCATCCTTTGTTGTAGGTTCATCCAAGAGTTACATTGCATACCTTGAGAAACAGCTTTGCTGTGAGTCTCCCATCACAGTTTTGATGGGGTTAGTGGTCAGAGGCAGGGACTTTTTAGATTACATGGGGTCTCTACTTAAGAACGTCCCTACTTAAGAACAATCCAACTTAAGAACAGCTCCATTTGCTAAATTTTGCTTCTACTTGAGAACAGAAATCCAAGATAAGAACAGGAAAAAAAAACCTTTCCTGCTCTTTTTTTAACCTTAGGTCATCTTAGGTTAAAAAAATTCTCCCCCTAGTGGTAGAGTACGTATTAACCAGCTTTGCATTAGTTCCTATGGGAACTAATGCTTCAATGTACGAACGCACCTCTACATAACAAAAAAACAGCCAGAACGGATTAATTGGTTTTCAGTCCATTCCTATGGGAAATTTTGCTTCAACTTAAGAACGTTTCAACTTAAGAACACCATTCCAAAACCGATTAAGTTCTTAAGTAGAGGTTCCACTGTAGTTTCTATGGACGGAAAAGAGCAGATACGGATTAAATGGTTTTCATATTCCAGGACCCAATCTCAGTAGCATCCTTTGTTGTAGGTTCATCCAAGAGTTACATTACATACCTTGAGAACCAGCTTTGCTGTGAGTCTCCCATCACAGTTTTGATGGGGTTAGTGGTCAGAGGCAGGTACTTTTTAGGTTATTTGGGATGGGCTTGCTGCAGAGGCCTGCCTAGCTTTATTGCTGCTTGTTTTTTTTACATAGTCAGCAGAAAAGTTCAATTTCCTCAGGTTTTTGCAGATTGTTCGTAAACCATCTTTTTGGTCATTCAACCTTTTTATTATCGTATTCTATTGTTCGTTTGTTCTGTAAGTATTTAGTAGAATTATATGACGGGCTTGCTGCAGAGGCCTGCCTAATTTTATTGCTGCTTTTTTTTTTTTACACAGCAGAAAAGTTCAGTTTCCTCAGGCTTTTGCAGATTGTTTGTAAACCATCTTTTTGGTCATTCAACCTTTTTATTATCGTATTCTATTGTTCGTTTGTTCTGTAAGTATTTAGTAGAATTATATGACACACATTTTTAATATAGTATTGTACAAAATGATGGGGGCGATAAAACAATGGCAGTGACACACCATAGTGTGTGTGTTTGAGCGTGTTTGCTTATCATGTGCTAGAAGGGCTGACATAATATTGCGGAAATGTAATAAGATTCTTCCTCAAAACTTCTGTCTTAGGTCCCTCAAAGGATCCTGGCCAAAATGTTGGATCTCACAGAGTTAGTTGATGTGGAAGTGACGCTGGCATATATCAGATATGCAATCTTTGTCATTGTAAAAATGATGCTGATGAGTCCTATGACAGCATTCTTCAGAATGAAGAAAAAGGTGAGTTGGTTGTTGTGGATTTTTCGGGCTCTTTGGCCGTGTTCTGAAGGTTGTTCTTCCTAACATTTTGCCAGTCTCTGTGGCCAGCATCTTCAGAGGACAGCACTTAACAAAATGAGTCTTAACAAAATGCTTTTTTGGAAATGGAAGGCCCAGTCAAGATTTCAGGGGACATACAGTACCAGAACCCTAATCATTGCATTGCTATTCAGATTATGGCTGGCCTCAATGAGTTCGGAAA